GCGTAGTAGAGAGGTTAAGCGCTTAACTATAGAGCGCTATTAAGTAGAGCGCTGTTACGCTAAGCGCTATTACGCTAAGTGCTAGCTTGTGTATTATAATTACTACTACTAGAGATATTATAATTAGAGCGTAGAACGCTGTTGTAGTAGAAGCTAGAGCGCTAGCGCTTGCAGCTAGAGTTAGAGTTAGAAGTTAGATTATTAGACTAAATTATAATAGTTAGCTATTAATTTAGGTATAAGAGTAAGAACTTACTATAGTAATAGAGGGGATAGAGAAGTAAGTAGAGTAGAGAAGTAAGTAGAGTAGTATGTTAAGTAGAGTAGAAGATTAAGCGCAGAGCTTAAGAGCGCTAAGGCTTAAGAGCTAAAGATCTTAAGTAGATAAGTTAATTAGATAGATAGCTTATTAGCTTATTAGCTTAAGCGTCTTAATAATATAGAAGTAGATAATTATAGTAGAGAAGAGAAGAATTAGAGGACTTATTATTATAAAGTCTTTAATTCTAGCTAAAGCGCATACCTATATAGAAAGCTAGCGTAGCTTATTAAGCTATTAATTGCGCTATAAACCTTACCTAGAAGAGATTAGAAGCCTAGATCTTGCTATTAGAATTGTCTCTTACTAGTTAGATGCCTAGATTTCTATAGCTATTAGCTATATTCTAGGCTATTATAAGGCAATTTCTAAACTAATAGAGTTAATTTCTAGGCTATTAGGCCTTATTTAAATAAGTAAGAGCTTACTACTATTAGTGTTAAGTATAATTAAACGCTTAGTTAGGCTGCAACCTACTACTACACTCTAGATTCTTAAGCCTAGACTCTGCTAGAGTATACTAATTATAGTAGATTTAATAGAATTAATTTTAGTAGAGTAGATTAATGCTCTTACTACTCTAGAGAGTGTGTTAAAGTTAGAGAGTAGTTGTAATTACTTAATTATAGATATGTAATCGCTTAGCTCTTAGATATATAGCTAGAGATTTTATTCTAACTTTCTTTTATAGTAGATTAATTATAATATACTTAATTATCTCTAATTATTAATTATCTCTAGCTCTAACACTTATTAATACTATTATAGTTACTTTTATAAAAGTCTAAATCTACCTTACTTATTAGAGAGATAGAGAAGCTTTATATAAAAGTAATAATCTTAGCGTATATAAATACTTTATAGAGAATAAAGATAAGCTTTTATAATAGGCTATAAGCTACCTATCTACTCTAAAGATCTAGAATAGCTATTTCTTTTTATATAGAAGTAGAATTAACTAGAAAATCTTATTAGATAAGGTAGAATACTACTATAAGTAATATACTAGCCTAGCGCTATAGTAAGCTTCTTTTCTTCTACTATCTAAGCTATAGCTATATTTAAGACCTAACTTTAGTAAAGTTTATAAAGTAAGAATCTATTTACTAGATTCTAAATATCTCTTTTAAGCTCTTTTCTTTATACTTATAAAAGCACTAAATAGTTAGATCTTCTTTACTACTAAATACGTAATTTAATAATATAGAAAGTATTAAAATTATAGTCTCTATACTTCTTAATATTAACTTCTTTATATTACCTACTCTAAAGTTAAATATAGTAAGCTAATACGCGTAGTAGCGCTTTAGTAACGTAGAGAAAGATAGATATAGAACTTAGAATAGTAATAATAATAAAGATAAACTTCTAAAAGTTATACTAGCTCTACTATATCTAAATAGAGAAAATAGAAATAATAAGAATAATAACTACTACTAGAGCTAAGAAGAAGAAAACGCTAAAGACGTAAAAAATAAAGTAACGCTAGCTAATAGATAATATAAAGTTACGTAAGTTAAGAAAAGTAAAGAGTCTAGTGCTAAATTATTTAGATTTACTCTTAAATATAACTTATTCTTTAACTTACTAGACTTTAAGAAACTATTATAACTAGTGCTATAAGTATAGTAGCTATAGTACTAGTTTTACACTCTAATAAAGTAGTAGATAAAGTAGTTAGAGTTCTTATTATTACTTTACTAAGTATACTTAATATAAAAAGAGTAACTCTAATCTATTACTAGGTTAAGCTATATAGTACTTTTAAGAAAATACTTAAAAATAGACTATTAACTTCTATAGCTTAATAATATAGCGCTAAACTTTAGCTTTTTACCTATCTTTTATCTAAGATTTATCTATTTATAATATAGATTAGAAAAAAAGTAGTAAAGTAGATAGTTAGATTACTATAGCTAAATCTTATTTATGTTCTAGCGCTATTAATTTTATAAGAAGTAAGTACTAGATTTATTTATAATATAGAACTTATAGAGGCCTATTAGTAGGTAGACGCTCTAGCTATAACTATACTTAATAAGAGTAATAAGATTAGCCTAGAACTAGTTAGAAAAGACTATCTATATAGTAAGAGCGTAGTAGTTTACTATAAAAGAAATTAGTAATTAGAGTAATAATACTAAATAGTAAACTTATATAGAAGCTATAGAAGGTAGTTTTTTACTAGGCTTATATATTTCTCTTAGAAAGCTCTATAACTATAATATCTAATAGTTATTATATAATAAGTATATAAGTAAGATAGATTTATTAGATTATTAATAAGAGTGTAAAGGTAGAGTAGATACTACTAAAACCTAGTCTATAAAATTAGTAAGTAAGCGCTAACTAGCGTAAAATCTAAGGCTTTACTAAGAGTATTATATACTATAAAGTAAGTAATAGATACTCTTATAATAGAGTAAGATAAAAAAAAAGTATCTTATTCTAGTAAGAGAGAGAGAAGCTACCTTAATACTAACGTTACTAGATAACTAAAGATAATCTAATAATAAACGTAAACGTAAACAACGTAATACTACTAGCTTAATATTACTAGATCTTATTCTAGCTAAAATTTACCTTACTTATTATATACTATCTCTACTCTAGTATTATTACGCTAGTATTACTAATACTTACTAATAATTAACTATACTATAAAACTACTTCTCTAAAGTAGCTACTATTAATAGCTTAAGTTAGGTATATATTACTATATAATACGCTTACACTAGGTATTAATTTAAGTATAAACTTTTATATTTTACTTAATATAATACTAACTACTTTTAAGACTAACTATTTCTATCTATATAATCTAAATATAATACTTATTCTCTATTATACTAGGCGTACGTGTAACTTCTTTACTTTATCTAAAATAATACTAACTTTAGCTCTTTTAGCGCTTATAAATAGTATAATATTAGCTATATATATAAAGACTATCTATAGTAATATAATAGATTTTCCTTTTACTAGCTAACTACTTACTAATATTAACTTAAAGAATAATAGATAAGTTATAGTAAAAGATGTTTACTTTCTAGAGTAGAGCCTAAATATAAGAATATACTTTATTATACGTAATAGTAATAGCTACTAGATTAGTTATCTACTACTTATAAGGCTACGCTATAAGTTAATAGACTATAATAAGATTTATATAAATATTAATAATAATATAGTAATTAACCTATTTATAAATAGATATAATAAAAACGCTATTAGTTTTAGAGCTATAAAGATAACGTAGAGTACTAGCTTTAGTAAAGAACTTATAGTAGAGGCTAAATTCTAAAACTAGCTACTTACTAATATAGAAGATAGTAGAGGCCTTACTAATATATATAGAAAGGCGTATATAAAGCTATATAGTTAAGTTATACTTATATAAAGCTATAGCGTAATTATATAAATAAAGAAGTATAACTATACTAAAATATAAATATAACTCTATAAGTTTTATAATATATTAAAGAGAAAATAATATATATATTTTTAAAAAGGTAGAAGTAATATTATACTTAGTAGTAGAATACTTAGAACTATAATAGTTTTACTAAGTAAAATATAAGTAATTTATAAGTTTAGTTAAATACTACTAAAACTAACGTAGGCGCGTAATAAGTAAGCTAGAGTAAAAGCTTATAATTTAGAGTAAGCTAGAATCTTATAGTTAATATAAAAGATTTAGAATAGTTAAAATAGCGCTAGTTTTACTAGATAGAATATTAGTAATTTACGTATTTAAGTAAGAACTAGTAGAACTAATATAGGCGCGTAATAGATAAGCTAAAGTAAAAGCTTATAATTTAGAGTAGGCTAAAACTTTATAGTTAATATAAAATAGTATAGAAAAAGTAGAATAATAGTAGTTTTACTAGGTAGAACTTAGGTAATTACTAGAACTAAAACTTAAGAAATTTTTTCTAATATAGACTCTAAGAGTCTATTACGCTAGCTTTATAAAGTTTTTTAGCACTATACGTTAAGCTATATTTTAATTTTATTTTTAGCTTACTTCTAGTACAATAGTAGTATTAGATAATTAGTAGCTATATTATTATTTTTACTATTTTAGTTTCTTTTAGAAACTAAGCTATAATTTATAAAGTAGTTATCTTAGATAAATTTAAATATTTTAAGTATATAGCTAGTAATTATATATAGAAAGATTTTTATTTACTAGTATAAATATTAATTTATATAAAGTCTTTCTCTTAGTAAAGCTTTAAATAATATTACTTATTAGTTTATATATAAGCTTTAGTAGTAATAGTAATATATATTATATATATTAGAACTTTAGAATTAAAAGTTCTTAGAGTAGTTCTAAGATAACTTAGAAGCTAGATGTCTTTTAATTTTCTTTTACTAAATAAAGCTTATTAAGATATATATAAGCTACTATAGCTAACTGTATAAAGCTATTAGTCTATAAATTACTATAACTTATTATTGTAATTTGTACTAAGAAGAGTAAAAAGATCTATCTCTAAGAAGGGTTAGAGACGTGCGATTTTCTAATATTGCTATGCGTGTAAGTTTAGCCTAAGTTGGTCCTGCGCCGCAACCTGCAGCCTAATCGCGGGCTACTATAGTTAGCATAAGCTACAAAGGCAGGTCGTCTCGGCGTCCCGCGCTTCCTGGTAACCTTCAACCTACACATGCCGACATGTCTAGAGGTATTCTTGAACCAACGGACAGCGCAAAACCACCGGCTTACGAAGTCTATCGCGACGCGCAGCAGCCCATCGGTCTCAGTCTCGATGCCCAGCGTCTAAAGTGGGCGCTCGACGGCCCATTGAACCGCGCGATCGAGGTCATGCAGGCCATCAATTACGATCCCAACATCGCGACAGAGCCATATTGTGACAAGACAGCCTCGAATACCACCTGGCATCCGGTATCTCAATCGCCCCTCACCGAACCCAAAACTTCCTCCGTCATCGTTCACATTGACATTCTCGAAGACTGGGAGTTCCAGTGGCTCGAAATGCACCGCTTTTGTCATGATCCTGAGGACAATGGAGAGGACCCCGATGAGTTTCTCTTTGGGGAGCTTCAAGATTACGATTCGGACTCAGACGAGGTGGAGGAACCGCATCTATTAAGGTGTTGTCGCGCTGATCGGCCACGGAAGAGGGGTGAGACGCTCCTCGTCAAGGCCAGTGGCGCGTTCCTTACCATTCACGACTACGTCTTAGCGGTACACCCCTGGTTGCTAGGCCGACGTGAAGACATCTTTGGGGCAGAGGGGGACTTGAAGAAGAATGAGCCTCTGGCGGCAGACACCAAGTTGATGATTAGCTATGGTTTGCCGGACCAAGTGAACTTCGAAACAGTGGAAGATTGGCGAAAGAGCATGTCAGTAGATACTGTGAAGATTGACTCCACGGACTGGCGCTCCTCCGTCTTTCAGCGGCCTCTCGATTGGTCATTTATGGACGGATTCAACGGACCGGCCCCGTCGTAATATACCCCATGGATACAGGTGCACATGGAGAGCGCAGTGGGAAGTATTGTGTCGAGCGAGGTTTGTTTAATTTGCTTAATAGAAAACGATAGGATCAAGTGTGTGGTAAATCACATAAGAGCTGCGATCAACACGCTTGCATTGAGACAGTGTTTTCAAGTACTAGGCTGGCGGAGCTACAATCAGCCTCTTGCTACCTAATCCATTCTTGCATTCATCGTACATCAAGCTACCGGAGCCCTTACAATCTTGACGATAATATCTTGATGTTTTGCGCCTGAGGCCTTGTAAGTAGGAGTGCTGTATGCCGGGTCCTTGTCATCAACTGTGACCCCCATCATACCGCCTCCAGACCCGCACGCTCCCAGCAAAGACTCTGCCATCTGAGCGGATGTCGCCTGTGCACCACCGTCGATAGTGCGAGCAAGGTCATAATAGGTGACCGAGGAGTTGGTGCGTGGTTTAGTGTGTTTGGCGAGCACAAGCACGGTCCCGGCGTCGGCTATTGGTAATCCCCACTCCGAGCAGTCAAACTCGGGCGGCATTGTCCATAGTGGGTTGTTGCTGTTTTCCGCCAGAAATCGCAAGTACGACGCGGCGTATGCGATGTCGGCCTCGTCGATGTTTTGCGCCTCACCACCGCCAATCCCGTAGCAGATACGGCCGTTGGTTTCGCCGCAAGTTCTCTTTTGAATTGTGGCTTTTGTTCCCCCTCTCAAGTTCGGTACGGTATCTCGAGAGCTTCTAGATTTGTGGCTGGACCCTAGAGCGGGAAAGATAGAAAGAAGGAGGAGTCCGAGTATCTGCATGACTGCGCTGGCGGTTCAAGAGAGTGAGTTTGCAGTGATGTTATGAATGTCACGATATTCGAGGAACTGCTGAACTGGCTTGATCAGAAACAGGTTCCTCGCAGCGGATGTTTCAACCCTCGAGATGAGTGCACAAATGACATTAGCCTCAAATACATGCACATAGCCTTAATGTATGCAAATAGCCTCTATATTAGTGATCTCGTGTCTGCACGTCGATACCAAGCGTGATCGTAATCACGGTCAATTACCTAGGTACCACGTCGCTTGCCGGATGCAACCCTAACTGTGTCATCAACCGCTACCACAACCATTCATCAGCACAGAGACCTCCCTGAGGTTGAACCCTTCATCTTTTATCCATTATCATTTGATCAGTACAATTAATAGCAATGCATCGTGGCTCGGTAGCAGTGCGGGACAATCCTACGACAACATGATTATATTGCGATACGCAGGGGCAACACTGCCGTGCGTTACACGACGTAGACTTTAGGCTATGTTGGATGCAGCATTCTGTCGATCGCTCAACGGTTTTAGTACCGAGCTTCACAGAGGCTTACCCGAATCCACAGTGCGCATGCCACTGGTGTCCCGACGACCGCCCGATATTGAGGCAGACGAGTTTGTAGGGGAGTGCACCTACTGGCATGTTTCTACCAGTCCATGTAGCTCAGCGCATCGTTCAACAAGCACTAACTTCTCACCTCATTCAGTCCAAAGAGTCACGTCGCTCTGTCCTCAAAAATGTCTTCTTTCAGAAGGCAGACAGTGTTCACCATTCTTTTCACGTTGGCATTCTTCCCAACCGAATCGATCGCTGATGATTGCCGACCCGTTACGTGGTCCAACGATGCAAAGATTGCTCGTTTTGCAGAGATGACAGGGACTGCTACGCTGTCGACACCAATCACGAGTCCTGTGAGGAACACTGGCGGCAGAATCAGGATTCTGGAAGTGAAGCCTGGCGAACTCAATTGTCGAGCTTGGGCCAGAACCCACGAGCATGTCAACTATTATACTTGCACAGAAATCTGCGACAAGTATCAAATCACGACCGACTATTTCTTCTGGTTGAACCCAACGCTGAAGACGGATTGCTCGGATATTCAGCCAAGATCGAGGTACTGTTACGATGGCTGTAAGTCTTCAATTACATACTCGTTCGAGCAAGATCAAGGTGCCAAGAATTGACACGAAAGATGCTAGATATCGAGCCTGTGAGGGCCTTGGATGGTCTTTGCGGCCCAAAGCACAACAATGCAACCTGTCTTGGGACCGAATTTCCGTGCTGCAATGCCAATACATTCACTTGCGGCGCATCTGAGTAAGAATCTTAGCAGAAACAGAAGTAGGAAAATCGAACTCAGCCTGACAATCATCTAGGGAGGATTGCGCTGATGGCACGTGTTACGAGGGCGGCTGCTTGGGGGACAAAACATACAGCACCGACGGTACCTGCGGTTTTGCACACAGGGATCGGCTTTGCGCAGGAAAATGGGGAAATTGTTGCAACCTTGACGGCAAGTGCGGCGATGGTGCATCTTTTTGCAATTTTGATTCTTGTCAGTCAGGGAACTGTACGCGTGCATCCCCCACTGCGACTATCCCGTTACCATGGCAGACTGGGACTACACCGGATGGTAGCTGTGGAGGCCCAAACAAATACACTTGCAACGTGGTTTATGGGGGCTGCTGCAACAAGAATGGTCAATGTGGGATACTTCCGGCTGACTGCGGTGCCGGCTGGTGAGTCTCCCTTCCGAACTCCATGAGACCCGCCCAGAATTCGTGTTAGCTGAAACTGACATCAACAAACACGTAGTCAACCTCAATTTGGGCAATGCGGCTCTGCACCGTCAACGAGTGTAGTCAACTTGCGTTCATCCTCGTCCTGAGGCAGAGCATCTTCTACTTCGACTTGTCACTGGAGAGCTTTGACCTACTTGGGGTAGCATGGCGAATTTCATTAAGCGTTGTGTCCGCTTCAAGGTGGACCAAACAGCATGAATTATGTTTTCATCGTATTCTGCAACATTTGGTGCTCTGCTTGCTTTAGAACGTTTTGGTTCCACAGTAACGTGGTGAAGCCGCGCAGCCACGTCCTACGCATGGCTCCATCCTGACTCTTGCACGCTCAATATGCATTCGCCCTTGTCTATTGGCATTCAAATCTCTGCTGCATCTGTCTAAGAAACATGGGGGTACAAGCTTTGATCCAAATGACGTGTAACATATAGTTCATTTGCGCAACAATTTGGTGGCTGCGTTTGCTCGTCTGGATGTACAAGAAATTATCAATGCTTGGGCTTCGGACACTCTACTTACAATCTTCTCATAAGCAATGAGTAGGGATACCTTGGGTATCGATTGAAAGGTATATTGCCAATCTACCTGGCAGATGTCTATGAGTCTGGTACACTGTTGAGCAAGGACTTTGGCTAAACTCTAGTCTTACAAAGTCGAAAATCAAGGTGGTGTAGGGCCATACGACGGCTTCCACGGGTCAAATGTACTTCATTCGCTCCCAGTGTAGTCTCCTGCGCGATAGCTTCTCTGGTCGCTACACAGTATTGTCCTTATTACCTAAGGTGGATATACCGCTCAGGAAACAACATTGCACCCTGAGAAGAGAGCTCTCTGCTCCTCATTGTCATCCCAAGAATGGCTTCATTGTATTTCTTGACGTGTCTTCTGGCCTTTCAAGGTGTGCTACTGGGACGTCTGGCCCTCGCTCAGCTCGACCAGGATTACAATGTCAGGCGGGTGATCGATCCGATTACCAACAACTTCGTGGATGGATACTTCTAGTGAGTTTGGGATGACATTAGAGAGCTTGAAACTCGGCGACTAACGAGAGACTATGCAGCCGTCCCAATCCGAATGCGGCGGAGCAGCGCGTCATCGATGTCTCGCCAAAACAAGTGGTGCTAGTATATAACTGCAACTATTTGAGAGACATCTGCGAGAATGCCATGAACTGGTATAGCATTTCACCACGAGCACAAACTGGTAGTACCAGTACACGTCGAACTCGTTTGCCAAACAGCGTTTTCGGCTATGACTTCAACACTGGCAAGAGAGCCAGATTCCGGTCATACCAGCGTCGATCACAATCCTGCCCTGGATCTTGGAAAAACATTCATCCTTGCCCCGAGACGAGCCAGCGAGACGTAATGCGAAACGACGGTGTGTGGTGGCACAAAGATTTGGAGCCTGGCACTTCTATCAATCAGATTAGGAACCATCGCGTGGGCGCAATCACAACACTTTCCAAAATGCGGTACACGTGCGATGAATTTCCACCAGCTACATGGGTAGAGGGCGGAGGGGATCGCAGCGATCCTAACGTAGCATCACAGACACGCTGTGCTGCCATGAGTTGTGCACGAGGATGTAAAGCCGAACAGAATTGGCAGGCCGATGCGCATGGTAAGCTACAGCGTCAGCTCAAATCCATCATCGAAAAGCAGAGACGGGATTCTGGTTTCCGTCTACATTCCACGTATCAGAGCAAGGATAACGTAGCATTCTTCCACTTCAGAGCCATCAATTCGGCGGACGGCGTCGCAGCAAGGGTCTGGACGTTTGACGACCCAGCCGGTAATGTGCGTTCTGACGAGAGAGTCGTCAACCAGCAAAGACGAGATGCACCCGAGACACACTATGCAAACATTTCAAGCCATTTGTTTGGCTCGAGACAAGGACTGGACATGGATCGTATTCAAGAGCTGATTGACGCTGGTCTTGGTAGCCAGTACATCGTCCCAGCAAATGACTCCGACGGTTACGACTCATGGTCCGATGCGGATCTGACCTGCACGACGATCCCAATGTCTCACATGAACTCCACTCGCTGGATGGATGAGGAGGACGATGACGATGACGACATCTTCGACGAGCATTACGATATCGATGAAGAGAGTGAGATGGAACGACTTGAATCTCGTGAAGAGTCTACAAATGTTCAAACTGAGCCCCGCAACGAACAGGTGTCTCCATCGTACCCCATAATCGCACGACAATCTGACACTAGAGCCATCTCCGGATCTGATGTCACTCCTCTCTTGACCAACGCCTCACTGTCCGACCTGGAAAAAGCGCGAATCATCGTTGAGAAGGCTATCGCGGAGTCTTCCAAGCTCAACCAAGCCCGATTGTTGAACCCTATGCGAAACAACTATGGGCTGA